AATGCTCCAAATATATTCACTGATGGGTCAAATAATGGTACAGCAGCAATAGTTACCCCTGATCAAACTTTTACATTTTTAGTACCCAAACAATCAGCTCAAAAGGTAGAGCTTAATGCAGTATTACAAGCTTTTGTGATGTTTAAAGATTCTGTATTTATTTTCTGATAGTTGTCAGTATATAGTTAATGCTATAGTATCCCTTGAAGATGCTGGTAAGATTTCCCCTTCCTCTACTGTTTTCTCTTTGTTTTCCACTATACAAAATTTAATCTGTGACAGAAAAGATCCATTCTTTATAGGATATATCAGGGCACATACAGGATTGCCTGGAGCCCTTAGTTTGGGCAATGATTTCGCAGATAAAACTACACATGACATACATATTTTTTCTACGCTAGAAGAAGCTACAAATTTTCATAAATCCTTCTATGTCAATGCAAATACTTTAAAAAAGCATTTTAAAATAACTAAGGAACAAGCTAGACAAATAATAAAACAATATCAAAATTGTGTGACCTTTTTACCACAAGTTAATCTTGGAATCAATCCTAGAGGACTAATACATAACCATATTTGGCAGATGGGCATCACACACTTCCAGAATTTGAAAAATTAAAATCTTTGCATGTTACAGTGATACTTCTACCAGATTTTTGATGGGCTCCCTTCATGCTGGAGAAAAAACTAAAGATATTATAGCTCATTGTGTACAAAATCTTGCCACTGTGGGCATTCCAAAACAGTTAAAAACAGATAATGCCCCTGGTTATACTTCTACCTCTTTTAAGCAATTTTGCTCATCATTTGGCATTATTCATATAACAGGAATCCCATACAATCCACAGGGACAAGGCATAGTTGAAAGAGCTCATCAAACTATTAAAATGTACTTATTAAAGCAAAAAGAGGGAATTGGGAAGGGGTAAAAATCCCCCAAAGATAAACTTAAAATAACCCTTTTTACTCTGAACTTTAAAAATTTGGATTCATCAGGGCTTAGTGCTGCAGAAAGGCACATTTGTCCAAAAAATGTACATAAGCCCAAGGTACTTTGGAAGGATATTCTAACAGGACAATGGAAAGGTCCTGATCCAGTGATTGTCTGGAGTCAGGGGTCTGTTTGTGTGTTGCCACAGGGAGAACAGCAGCCGATTTGGATTCCAGAGAGACTAACTAAAGTGATTTCTACAGACCAAAAAGGAGATGACTTGGCTCAAATCCATAACAGCTGATATCCAGAACTTCAGTTTAGCTATCCTTACATCTGCAACAGTGGTTCTCCCACACCTGGAGGCTAATGAATAATGAACACCATTAAGGCCTATTTCAAATGTAAAAAACCTTGGGGCTTGCTTGTGGGAATACCTTCAGACCCATATGCAAGTTACAGGAAGAAGGATGGGATATCAAAAGAAGAGTCAAACCCAGGTGGTAACCAGGATGCTTTTTTTTTTTTTTAATATTTATTTTTCAGTTTTTGGTAGACACAACATCTTTGTTTGTATGTGGTGCTGAGGATTGAAACTGGGCCGCCCGCATGCCAGGCGAGCATGCTACCGCTTGAGCCACATCCCCAGCCCCCAGGATGCTTTTTTCAATATCTATTTTATTATTGCCCTTTCCCACATCATGAAGTTCTATTTTATTTATTTTTTAGTTCATACAGACCTAGGTTAATGTTTTTCTGATCAGTTCTATTTTTTGACTGTGGAGTTTTTAAACATTGCAATGGAGATTTCACCTGTGAAAAGCTACAAGGCCTTTACTATTATGTTATGAGTTGTATGTATTGTGTTATGTGTACACACTTGTGTTTTATGTTGTATGTCTGTATGTGCATATGTCCATATATTATATATGAGGAGCGCTCCTGAAAAAATCGATCCAAATATTTTTTTTTATTCACGTTATTTAAGTGGTTTAATTTAAATTGTGTAAACAGCTGTTGAGGATTGTTTTAAAATGTGAACAAAAAAGGAGGTTAACAGATCTGTTTATTTACTTTCACCTTTCCTTTTCATTATATGTAATTCTATTCAGGATACTAAATTGTTTAGAAAATTGCTTTTTTTTAGTGCCTGCTGGAATGTTACATAATTTTTTTTTAGCCATCATTGCCAGAATTCCTATCTTCATCCCAGTGCCAGTGAAGACAAAGATAAAACCAAACTACTGCTTCTGTGATAGCTATCACAACAAACTGTATAAACTGATGCATCAATGAATAAAGTAACTCAACAAATGATAATCAAGGAGTCGATTTACTTTGGGAGGAAATGGACGTATTCAATGAATTCCTCTGCTTTGAACTACTTGCAAAACTTGCCTGGACTTGTATGCATTGTAAATTATCTGTTGGTACAGCAAATTGTGGTAGTGCTGGGGTATCTTTGCTGATGGTGTCATTGATGGTACAATTTTTCCAAAAGGAGCCGTCAATGGCTTGATATCATGGCATTTTGTATCCTCCCCTTTCTGCTTGTAGCAGGTTGTTTATGGTGTTTGTGTAAAAACCACTATCCACAAGTATGGCTAAATGCTGGGCCGGTAGTCAATGATGGGTAAGATCCAATTGCAATGGTACCAACCTAAGACAGGAGGCTGACGCCTTGAGGTCAGCTCATCCGATAACGGGTAAGAACCATATGTAGTATTGGACAACTTAAGACAGGCACGATCCCTAAGCCACATACTTGTTTAATTAAACAGAGGGGGGGAGATGTTGGGGTCCATGGCTAAGTCTGGATGGCGCCTGGCATTTGCCAGAGGGAGTAGTTGAGAGGTAATGCCGGTGAGCCATTGGGATGATGATGATTAAGTTAAGCTGTGTATAATTATTGGGATGATGACTGATTGCTGTAACTGGATGATGCTAAATTGAAACAAGCTGTGTATTCAGTTGTGTATATAAACCTCTGATGTCCAGCAATAAGGCGGCTTCTGCTACCTCGGGTGCCCTCTACTTTTGAATTCCCGTGGAGTTCTTTTTGAGTTCCTGTTGGTTCTCTCGGAGTTTCAGTGGAGTTCTGGAGAGTTCCCGTTGGATTTGGGCAATAAAGTAGTTCCTATTTGAACCTACAAGTGCCTCATGACCTCCCAGTTATTTTTGTGCCCAGCCAGACTGCGGCACCACAAAACCAACACAAAAAAGTCAAAAACTAGGGAGACCAGCAATCCTAGCTACTCAAGAGGATGAAGCAGAAAGATTGCAAGTTTAAGGACAGCCTGGGCAATTTAGCAAGGCTTTGTCTCCAAATAAAAATGGTGATAAAGTGCCCCAGGGATCAACTTCCAGTGCTACCAACAAAACAAGGGTAAAAACCCCCACTAGGTACCCTTTTAACCTTATAAATGAGGAAACTGTAACCCAAAGTTTGGTCCTCTACACCAATCCAATAACGAAGACAAGATCCTGAGAAAAAGGAAAAAAGAAGATTTATTGCTTTGCTAGCAAAGGAGAAACACAAAATGGGGCTGAGGATGTGGCCCTGTGGTTGAGTGCCCCTGAGTTCAATCCCCAGGACTAACAAAACAAAACAAAACCAACCCCATCAGACCAATCTGGTCAGTAAGCATGACCTCTTTAGAAGTAATGTTAACTATGGATCAGGTCACAATACTGTATTGTAATTTGCCACTGGGATTACAGGTATGTGCCACCCCACTAGGCTGTTTTTTATATATATATTTAATTTTAGGTGGTCACAATATCTTTATTTTATTTTCATGTGTGGTGAGGATCAAACCCAGTGCTTCATGCATGCTAGGTGAGCATTCTACCATTGAGCCACAGCCAGAAAACAAAACCTCAGCTCTGGTTTTGTTTTTTTAAAGTTTTGGAAAACTTAGGCTCAGCCTTTAAGAATGGGAAGATTCTAACCCAAACAAATGGTGTGCTTCATGGTGTTGTGGTGAGCACATAAATGCATGATCATGCTTTCTAGAGGAGAGGAACTTCCCTCTGTTTTTTCATGAAAGCCTACTGGGAGGGCTTTTTAACTAAGAGTGCTAAGAAAGAGACTTTCAACTGTCTGGAAGAAGGCCACACAAAGAGGAATGTAGTTCAATTTGTGTGGAAATACTGAGACTAGGAAAAGACATCAGCCTTGGGGAAATATGCATGACATCAAATGCCTGCACTCCTTTACCCAAGACTTTCCTGTTATGATCTTGTAAACAGTCATTCCTGAGTCTTCCAAGTGTGTCTGCATTTGTTGCAGGGATAGATTTACCCAGACAGGTGGAAGAGTCATGACTTAAGGGTTATAAACAGCTGCAGAAGCCTGGCTGATCCCATAGTCTTGGTGGATGGGAATGAGGCCATTTCAAGTCGCCGGGTATTAACTAGTTTTAGAACAGGCCCCCAAAACGGAATGACTGTAATTTTGGTTCAACTCATGCACCACTCATTATAGCTAAATAATAACATTATAATGTAAAGAATTTCCAGTCGTTTAAAAAAGGATCATCTTGGCGTGCTTTTTGTTGCTGACTCATAGGGCTACTGCTTTGGAACTATTAGGTTTCCAAATGGGACACACAGTAGGTATTCAATAAAAGTAAATGTCAACTGGTAGCAGTAATTTTCGTCCCTCAAAGAGAATGTCCTTTACTATCCCACCGTAAATGTAAATGAGTAAATGGTAACAGTGACAAATCTGCCCTCGGTTGGCCGGTTCTAATTCTCCCAGAGCGAGTTTTTCCTTTTACCAGGTAACTTTTTTAATTGACAGTGAGTAGGACTTGTACCCAGCACAGGGCAGGTTCGACTCGTGCCCAATCAGATCCAAGATTTTGGGGTGGGGGTGGGGAGAATGTCTCTAGTCCTGCCCTGTCCAGGAAGCGGGCGGGCTTAGACCCAACCCTTGCCACTGCAACCCGTCGTGACAGTGAGCGGTGCTTGACACTCCAGGAAGCCAATAGGAACAAAGAAATCCATTTAAATCGGCCAATGCCGATGGCTAGGGGGTGGGGCTTGCGAGCTCTATAAAAGCGTCGGCCGGCCAGCCAGGCGGTGGCGGAGGCTCCTGCGGCGGTAACCGGTAGTGGGTCTGGAGCTCCTCTGGGCCAGTCGCGTCCGACGCTTTCGGCGTTCTGCTTCCGCGCCAGCCTACCTCGCTCCTCGGCGCCATGACCACCACCACCACTTTCAAGGGTGTCGACCCCAACAGCAGGAATAGCTCCCGGTGAGACGGCGAGGCGGCGCCCGAACCGCACGAGGTTAAGGGGCCGTTAGGCGGCTGCCCGCGGGCCGAGTTGGCCCGGCGCGGGTCGTTGGCGATAATGTCCCCGGTGCGTCCCGCTCGCGCTGGGGCGGGCTGCGGGGCTCGGCCGCGGGGCTCGGCCGCGGG